GGGGTGGGGGGGGGTTAGCTGTGAGTCGAGTCCCCTCCCCGGGACCCCCACCTGAGGTTGCTGATGAAGTCCTCCTTGGTCATGCGTCGACGCCGCCGCCTGCCGGTGCCTGCGTTGGCTCTGTGCAGGTCCGTGTTGAGCATGATGATGGCGAAGGACAGGATGAACGGCGTGTCGGCGTTGGCGAAGGGGCAGGTGGGGTTGTCGCGGTTGTCCGCGACGTAGCACTCGGCGAAGGAAGAGACGAGCCGGTCCACCTTCTGGGACTCTCCGGGAAGCCTGCGGAGGCAGAAGAAGCCAGCCCGGGAAAGAGATAGAAAAAAAAAAAAAACGCCACAAGCGAAACAGGAAAGCGGGTGGGTACAATAATGGGGGGGGACGGGGGTTGCGGTGAGATAATGCTGGTGTTGTGTGTGTTCTGGGACTCTCCGGCAAGCCTTCGGAGCCACCGGCCACAAAAACAAAAAGACGGCCGCATGGGAAAGCGGGCGGGTACAAAAATTGGGAGAGGGGGGGGATGTGCTACTGTATGTGACAAGCTTGTCCGGCTAGGCGCCGTTGGTAGTGGGACACATGGCTTGACAAACGAGCGTGCGGATCATTCTTCCATCCTCTCGTCTTTGATGGGAATCGATATTGGTTCGCCAGGCTTTTGACGTCGCGAAACGCGTCCCCCCCGAAATGGAGCCAGTTTTCGTGACTATTTGAGCGTCGAGCACACACCTCCACGGATGCCTGCCAAGCCCCGGGCATGAGCGTTACCGTACTCGACGAGCCTCCTACGTGCCCCTGAGAAGGGAAGCGTTGTGAAAAGACTCGCTGCCGCCAGAGAAAGAAAACGCTAAAGCGCGGAAAAGACCCAAATCTTATGGTATGTGTATCGCTGCCAGAACTTCGGCCAGCTCCGTAGATACCGCCGATGCTTCTCGCAGGCCTCTTGACGCAACGTTTTCTCCCTTTTTTTTCTGTATTCAAAATGTTTGCTGACCACCAACTCCACCCTGGAAGTAAAAACGCGCGCGCGCTCCCGACCATGCCGTCACTATGAAGTGAAATGAAACACGTGGATCTTTCTTAGCGTACTCCCCGCGCCCACTCGACCTGCTAACCCGTCGAGCGCACCACAATGCTATTATAGCGCCCCTACACAGTACAGTACCCACTCGAGGTCTCTCTAAATCGCATGGAACGAACTCGTCAACACCGGAACCCCACCATCATGCTCAACTTGCACCACGCACCCTTCGGAAGTCTCGATCACCCTTGAACGGTTCGACCTTAGCTAGCACAAAACCGCGTCATGTGCCCGTACTCTCTGCAGCTGAAGCAAGCTTGCTGCGGGCATGTACGGAAAGTGGTTGGGT